TTGGAGTTTCCCCTAAACCGGACTAGGGTTCCTGAAAACAGAAACAACCACCCGACTTCGAAAGCACACTGAGAACGGAGCTTACCTCGGAATCATGATCGGAAACATGTTCTGGAATTGTGAGACTGAGAACTTTCCAACGCTATATAGATCGACTCATAACTCTTTCTGGTTCGACGGGAAAACACCCACGAAGTGGACTGTCGCAGATCCAATTCTGCACGAACCACTCTTGGAAAACAACCATAACTCTCAGAATACTAATCCAATTGACAATCCGATTTCTCCTAAAGCTAAATATGAGAGTGGAGAACTTACCCTAGAAGTTTCACTCCAATCCGACCTGATTAGCCTGTCCGTTCCTCTATTATTTTAGAACGGTCAGAACTATCTTCATCTCCTTCATAGACACAGCGGTTTATCTCCTCCTTTTTTTCTTCTCTTCCAATTTTTCAGTTTTTTTACGTTATCTCTGCACAAAACGGATGCTGCTCCCTTTTAAACACGAGACATAAAGTTCCCTTAACCCAAACCAGTTAAACCGACGATTAAATCAAACCAATCGGTTCAAATCAACTTTCTAAAATTCTCGATTTTGGTTCACAACCTCGTGGTGGAAGTTTCGGCTCGGCTAGAAGAGCGGAAACGGTTCGTTTGGGGAGATCTATCTTCTGTCATCTTGGGTAAACGGTTTGCTTTTTGATTGCAACTTCGGAGAATCCCTAACGAAGAACATGAGCCAGACCAGTTTTGTTCAGTTCTCTTGAGCGTTACTTACCCGACCAGCTCCTCAATTGTTCTCGAATCGACAAGTCTCGTTTCATGAGAGACCTTCTTCTCCGACACTACCCTAACATTGAACGAATCCAGGTAAAACTTTCCTTCTTTTCAGAGCTGTTCTTGGTTAGTTCGAGCTTGAAGTTGTATCTCATAATTTATTACTAGCAGAGGTATAATAAATTACTTGAAAGTTATCGTTTTTGTGTTTGGGTTTGTAGTCTCTGTCTTCTTACCAGGGTTTAACTAATTCAGGCTGAACAAATGGAGAGATGGGTCTACGATTCAAGATCCACAATAATGAGACACAATACGATGAACAAATTTGGTGTTGTTCCTTATGATTTTGGCTTTGAAGGCATGCTCCCAAATTTGGTTGATGACTTCATAAGCCCTATATCTCAAGGTTAACATTTTCTATTTGTGATTACAGATTTTGGGTTTTGTTGCAAAAAGTTTTAGTTTTTATGAGATATGTGCTCCTGGGGTTTGTTTTGATCTTATGTTGCTTTATTGTTGATCTTGGTAAGTACTGGGAAGCTCCACAATGGTTTTTCTTCTTTCTCGTTTCGTTCTAACATTTTTCTTGATAAATTTTGTACAAATTCTCATTGCTAACAGAGATCTGAGCTCACCCAAATCAAATCCTGCTAAGAGAAGGTAAAGCTTTTAACTTTCTGCATATATGACTAAGTGTTGGCCTGCAAACTTTTTCGTTTAGCTTTTTCACTTGTGTTTTGATCTCGTAGAGGATGTTGGACACCAAGGTTTCTAGCTGCTGGTTTTGTGAAGCATGTCTCTTGGCAGAACACTTGAACACAAGCCTGTAGAAACATTTCTAGCACTATGACTCTGTAAGAAGCATGTATCTTCTCCTCTCTTTAAATTGTGATGGACGTTTCCTCAATCGTTTGGGTTTATAATCAAGTTTTTATCGAGTGATACCATGACTTACTCCTCTGCAGTATTCAAGGTGCCCATGAAAAAACTTCCAAGGGATCTTCTCTTTTGTAACCTTGTTCTATGTCTTGAGATTGATCAATTGGTATTTGAAATGCAGTCAAGTTTAATGCAAACGGAATGGTTGTTGGAACTCTTTATGGGTTTGACCAGTTCATGAATCCTGTTGTCGAAAACACCGTGGAAGTGAACGGTAATGATACTTCTATTTAGTTGCTGTATAAAAGCTCAGTCTTCACTTTCTCTTAATTCTTTTATGTGATTAGTTTTGTCCTTTTTCTTTATTTCTTCTTGATCCTTATGAGTTTTTTCATCTTGATATGTAACGTCACGTCTGGTGTTCCTTGGTGCAGGAACGAAGCAAAAGTTGGTGAGGCTCTTACAAAAGCTTTCAAAACGGGTTTTGTCAACAATGAGGTTCTCTCATCTATCGTTGGTTACCTCTGCCTCTGCATAAACCTAAGCTTCTTAGTATGAAAGACTTGTTCAAGATGAATTAGACTAAGATGAATTAGACTTAGCAATCCTTGTGATGTTAGTTTAAGACTTGTATTGATGTTACGTAAGACTTGTTATGTATATTTTGGATGATT